TTTTTTAAGCTTTAAAGGTTATATTGTTCTTTATTAGAATTTCGTTAATGTTTTCTAATAGCTAGCGCCGACTTACAAGGAATCTTTTCCTCAGTATCTCCAGATTATCTTATCCGACTTTGGCCTTTGGCCACTGAGGAAGAAGATAACGGTTAGGGTCTGGCACTTTATAAATATCAAACACTGCCGTTGCTATGGGTTACGGTAGTTACACTGCATGACCCAACCCCTCCAAAAGGGGGAAAAAACTTAAGACAACAGATTGCACCTTCTAAACGGCGAAAAGCGTCCATAATTTGCATCCACTGACGATCCGGTGCTGCAGTATCGGTTTGAAATTTCGACTCGCGAAGCATTAAGAAATGTAGTAAAATTTTAAAGGCTTTCTCACTGATTGTGCAGCAGAATGTAATGGGAAAGTGTGAATAATGTGAGGGAGTTTTTGCGTTGAGAGGAAATAAAAAATTTACGGAGGGAGGGATGAGAAAAAAATTTTTAAGCGAACATACTACTTTGCGTTCGGTCACTAAGCACGCAGATAAAAATCATTATCTTTTAATGCTGGTTTAAAGCGACATATGCTTTCGAAGAGACTTGATCTAATAATATTTTATCGCATTCTCATTGAAACCCAAAAGCTTATCAATGATGTTTTCAATCTGCAGCTGCCTCGACCTCCCAGAATGCAATATTCGGAAAATGTTAGTTTCTAAATAACTATTCAAACGTTTATATGAAGTTTCTGATATAACAATTATCCAATGAAATTTCACTACGATGACTTTTTCTGTTCAGCTGATTTTGAGTAAATAAAACAGAGGATGTAGAAGATCATGAATGGTTCAAAAAGAGTATTGCGGGTTACGAATAGTTCAAACAGATTATGAATAATAAAAACAGAGAAGCTATCAGGCTATGGATAATTAAAACGGTAAATTACTGATTCCTAAATCACAGAAGCCCCACTAGCATTTATTCCTCGATTAACATCATTCATTCAAATGAAAGATCACATCAAAGAGTAAGTTTTACATATATTGCCTTCAACTCTGATAAGTTCCTAAACAAAATAAAATTTAAATAATTTAATAAGAATGAAATTTATTATTAAGATCACAGTTTGTCCAAACATCGGTCATAAACAGTTTGGGTAAAAATTCCAGCTTCTTTTGGATTTCATCTTGGCATTTTATAGTCTTCTCTAATAATACTTGATTTTTACTTTAATGGTGGTTTACGAGTGGAATTTCAGCAAATAAACTCGAAAAATATGTCAGGTAATGTTAAAACGAGTTCCAGCTTTACTTTACAGCTACACTAAAATATATAAATAATTCGGAATGATTGGTTTTATGACTGAAATTTGATTTCATTCGGTAAAGCGATCGAAATAATTGACATCACTAGCAGTTGAATAATTTAACTCTCCTTGGTGCAATGTAATCTTCGTATCGATATTCTTGTTTTCAGATCGGTTCTTCAGATAAATTACTCATTTTCAAACGAGCTAATAATTAAAAAGCAAGGATATTAATAATTACACCTCCAAAAACTGCATAAAACATTTTTATCGTAATATTATTTGCTGTTAAGACAGTGAACCAATTAAGTTATTGTATTTTTAATAAAAAAAAGGATTTATTTTTTAATTCGGGGCTTGATTTAAAACATCCAGTTCTTTCCCCTTGATATAATTACCTTCCAAGTTGTACTAATGAGCCCCAAACATGAAACTACTCCTGCTTATCTTTCTCACATTTAAAAATGCACTCTCTCTCAGAGTCTGCATTAGATGTCTTAGTTTAAGGTTGGTTTGTAAGAATTAATTAAATCAAAGCAAGCAAGTCTAGCTTCCGAAGGAAGAAAGAATTTATAAAGAACATTTTTAAAGTATCTCGAATTCATGTTATACTTGGGAAAAACCACAGAAACCAACTCACCGGCAGGAATTTTATCCTAGGTAGCCTTCCCTGTATTCAGCAGTCTTATCCGCTCAGTGTCTGGTGATCTTTCCTTGTTTTAAGAACTGGGAACTTCTTGGATGTAAGACATTACGTTTTATTAAATTCAGCGCAACTTTAACATAAATGTAGAAGAATTCCCCCTTCCCTTTGCTGTGTATATTAATGCCATCAAGGAAGGCAATTTTAAGAACCTAAATCGATGTGGCACTCGGGATTTCCTTAATAACTTAAAGTTAAGGAATGCAATTTTTAAAAATTTAATGCCATGAGAAATATAATTACTTTAGATTCGGTGCACATTTTTAAATAGATTTTTAGGAAAATCATAGCACCGTAGTATATACGTTGGTATAGATGCTGTGTTAAATATTAGTAAGAACAATCTGCTCTTCACTTTGATATCACCATTACTTTGTCACATAATAATACATCTTACTTTCATTTCAATGAATTTTTTTAATGCATTCACGAATGAAGTTAATTAGAGTAAGAAATTAAACTCATAAAACATCAACGTAAGTCTTGCAGCAAATTAATCTTTTCCACTTGGATTCCAAACTCTTTGTTTTATATATGTTTGTTTGAACTGTTTTCGTATTTTGAAATGCTTATTTTTTGTTTTGTATATTTCATTTTGGTTAGCAACCCACCTTTCATTATTTAATTTTGATTTAATTTTTATCGCTTGATTATATTTATATATATGTACACCTCTTTCCAAATTAAGGAAGAAAATTTTAAACATTAGTTGAAATATAAAATTTCCTACAGTGAGAAACTAATACATTTTTATATCAAAAATTAAATACAATAAATTCAAATTTTGCCAAATGAATAACAAGTATTCGGAAATTTCATTATTTGAATTTTGAAAAATTTAATGATTAACTGCTCTTTTTTTAAGCTAAAACGTTTGTTTAATGTTAGGACAAAAAAAAAAAAAAAAAACCGAGGTCAGCTTAAAATTTGAATAAATTTTTTCTCGAGTGCCGGAGATGAAGGTCTCGCCCTCGGAACTTCGAGTTTTATTTCCACGTCAGGCTAAGTCTGCTTTTTGATCACCTTGTAGATGACAGTGCGTCTTTTATCAGTTCCGTGCCAGTTTTGAAGGAGAATTCCCCAGAGGACGGACCCAAGTTTCTCTCCTTTCTTCCTATATCCCCAAACCATTTGAAAGGTATCTCAAGCTCGGGGTGTATTCGAAAGGCCTCCGTGCCGTAAAGGCACTCACATACTTACAAACATCCAAGCCTTCTTCAGGATTCGAGCCCGGGCCCAAAGATAAGCAGCCAGCAGCACTAACCTTATACCGATCAGGACGGTGCATGCTTCATATATTATTACACTTCAAAAGGATCTTTATAATCTTATTTGATGAACTGCATATAGGAAAAGAAATAAGATGCTGGTCATTTCAAAGTTAAGGCTTTTATATGCTTATTAGAAAATACGGAGATCATAGTTTGCCTATTCAGAGTATTAATCCGTTTATCTCCCCGAAAGATTTTAATTAGCGTGATAATTGTTTTTAAATGAGTATTTATTTGTTTACTTAGTCGAATACGGCAAAGGAAACAAGTAAATATTTGCTTAAGGAGACGGAGGTCTTCGTGGTATGATAACTGGCTAGTATTCATGCTACACGAAGGAAAAACTCATCAAAATTCTCATGCAAGCATCCCAATCCTCGGAATTTAAATCTGAGTCGAACTACCAGTGTTCATTGGTCTTACACAATGGGCTATTAATGAACATTAAATTGTAAATGCATCAGGTTTGCGAAAATTAATATAGTATATATAATTAAAATTCTTATGTCCTGATTATTATCTCAGAAAACATTCACCAGGTCAGAATGACTGCAAAGGTCTGGGCACTACAATAAACAGCCCATAATCCTGCCTTATCCAAATGAGCACTTTCCTATTAATTAGTAAATCTGACATGAATCGAAAGTGAGAAGGAAATGCCCTGGTCATATAAAGCTGATGACTGATATATAACTTTAGTATCTTCTAAATTCTACTCAATTCGTTTTCCAAAATTTATTTCAAACTTACGTTGACAGAGAAGGCATCTTCTATCAATGTAAAGTGCTTTCAAAATGAGAAGAGCACATTAACCAGAAATTATTCTTGGCTTTCGCTAAATGATATCATTGACAGCAACAAATGAAAATGTTTACGACATTTTCATTTGGGTTATCCGTATTTTCATTTCATTTACACACGATTAGCAACTATGTCATACAATTTGCATCCAGACAACCGAATTCAAATTATACAAAACGAACTTCAATACCAGTTGATCTCTTGTCAAGCAAATAACCACAAATTATTCTTGAATGGCTTTCGTTAAATGATACTACTTGACTGCAACAAATGAAAATGTGGACAACAATTACACGCAATTAACAACGTCATACAATCTGCATCTGAACAACCGAATCCAAATTACGTATATAAAACGAATTTCAATACCAGCTGATCTCTAGTCATATTTGAATATGAACAGCTGACCAATAATTTCACGTTCAGTTAATGAATTCAAATTAGGCAATATAAATTTCAGCGGATGAATTCTAATCATGTAATAATTTGAAATCCAGCCAATAAAACCCCAGGTTACAATTACAATTATAGGTTTGAAAAAGTATGCAAAATTTGTGTTGATAACGAAGGAAAAAGGAAACGAAAAGAACTAGAACAGTCTGCGAAGTACTTAAAAGTATTAAGTTTTCTTATATGTTGAAGTACTAGATTGACTAGAGAGAGCAGCTCGCTGAAGAGAGGGGGAGCGCGCCGCTGTTGAGTCAAAGCAAACCTTACTCAACCCATCAAGATCCTTCGCCCATCCACAAAAGTCTGTCCGTTCACCCCTTTTTCTAAATCTCCCCCATCGTGAATAGTTCGGCTTTTCATAATATGTCAAATAAAGTCATTTATTCTCGATATGCTTTCGATGCTTAATGCCTCCCCGTCTGTCAACAAGGAAATATTGACTCTCTTTGCATTATCTGTAGGATGAGCGAGTCGTTGTTTTATCGTCTGAAAGGTCCACCAAATCTGCTAACAAATAACTTGACTATCTCCTCCCGTCGCAATCAGCTGACTGTAAGCACACACAAACGAATCTCAGCTTTGAATCGTCAGCAACGGCTTTAACATGGAACTTTTACCTTCCAACAAATATGTAAATATTTCACCGTCAAATATGTACAGAGTGTCCGCCGAGGAATCACACTGCGCCGGCGGATAGCGCCCTCGTGGATTCGGCCGCTGACGGCCGAGGTAACGGTAGTGCCGGAACTTGGGGCCTTTGCGCTGCCGGACTCTCGTGCAACTGCCACGGCTGGGCACATGCTGAGGAGACGGCGATTCGGCCTTCGCTAAAGCGGCGGATCATTTTGCCCGGCAGGTAAGGACACTTCTCCTTAGATTTGTTAACTGCTGTTTTAAATATAGCGCGCAGCGAAGTGTTCACCAAATCTAGAGTTAAGTTTTTATTGGCTATTTATAATTAAATTACAAGAATGCATTAAAAAAATTACACAGAATGCGTTATTGTTAGAAAGCGAAAAATCATTATTTTATATTAGCGTCGTATGCTTCTTAATATATTGTCATAGTAAATCGATGACACAACTCAGTGATTAAATATTTTGGGATATTATATTATTCATGTACAAGTAGCTTTTTAAAGATTTTTTTTTTTTTTTGCTAATTATTGTAATATTTTTGACAATTGTGAAGAATGTAACTATCATTTTAAGCATATTTTTCTAGGTAAAAAGTTTCGTTTTTGTTGCAATTGACGAAGAAAGCGTTCGGTTTATATTATACTTCCGTTTACGAGTATGACAACTGAATTATATTGGGTTCAATATTTTACTTCAGTAATATTCATGTTAATTGAAACTCAAATTATATCTTAACTTCATTTCATTTCATTTTTTTTCAATTTTGTTCTTAAAATTTCCAAATTAATATAATTAATTTTATGAAAAAAGTAAACATTATCTTCAGATGGTATATTTTGCAAAATTTCCTGCAAATCTTCATAATTTCGCAAGCACTGAAAAATCCTGCGTTCGATCTGGTGAGTGACTGATATAAACGTATTAATTAAATTTAAAACATGACTTCTATTTTAAGTTGCAAAATTTTTGATTTTTAATCCACTTCACAGGAAATTAGAAAATTTCATGAGATGATGGGTTAGATTTAAAATTTTGCTAAACTGAAAATAATACTCGATGCAAATATTATTTCCATTAATGAATTTTACAATTTTGCCTTTTGGATATAATTTGAGTGCAAAATATTCGTAAGATTAATCGATTAAATCTTTAAGTTCTTCATTTTTTGTGAAATATTATTTCAGGGAAATATTCCAACAATTGGAAATAATGAATTAATATGCATTTTCGTAAAATGCACAGAATAAAAAATAAGGTTTTTCAAAAATGGTGTTTAAAAGTCATTTATTAAGACTTTAAATTAGTGCAACTCAGATCTATCAGAATATTATGCAAATTCTTATGCAGTAAATAAGTTATTCATTTGAAAGCGAAAGTAAAAATAGGGAATGTTATTATTAAATGTTACCATGATAGTGGATAAAGCATTACATTTGGTTGTATGAGTTAGAATATTACTTAGCCCAGGTGCATTCAGTGGTATAAAAAATTTAAACAATGAATTGTTGTGATAAATTTAGCAAACGTTATATTTTCTCCGTATACTGACCATTAGCCCAGCGCAATACAAAATGAATATTATTTTCAACACGTTAAATTTGAACAAATATAATCTTTTATTCCTCTCTCTTTGCACAGAAAATATTTGCATGTAATAAAGTTCAATTGACATGCATAAACATGGTGAAAATTATTTTTTTTTAATGCTAACTCAAATCAGATCAGAAAACTGCCTTTTTAAAATACACATTAATACTAAAAATCACCTCAAAAATTTCCATAAATGTAAGTGTTACTCTAAATTTGTTTGCCGTAAATAATAGGAAGGTATGTGCTGAAAACCTATAGAGTGGATTTACGTCCTGCCAAATTTTATTGTTTTGACATGTTATTAGTTACACTATAATGGACTTTCTAGCTTTATTAACTGACTAATTTAGAGATATTTTAAGTTAGCTATAATGCAGAGATGTCAGTTACATGTTATAAGGTTACATAACCTAATAAACATATTTATAGTAAATTATTGGTACAAAAGCATAGCCAAAATTTGCAGCAGGAAGCATGTGCTTCCAGTTTATCCAGCACAACATGTAATATAGCCTACAGACATATAAAAGACATATCATAACTCTACTAAAATTACAAGAAGAAAATACAATAACAGGTATGGAATACTTCACGCTTCGAAAATGCGTCTATTATTGTTTTATTATATTGATACGTCACAAATAAAACTGAAAAACTCAAAGCAAATGTATTTCGGATGTAAAATTTTTAAACCCTTTGCATTCTATTTCTTCATGGATTTGGAGAACATTAATAAATTTCTGAGAAATTCTTAAAACAAAATTAACTTCCAATTTATTTCATTTTATACGAGGCAAATAATATTTTTCTAGGCTTCTTTTTTCCTATGCTATTAAATAGATTCAGCACTTTTATCTCAAATAAGTATGAATTTTTAATTAATTTTGTTTTAATTAACAGTTTAGGTTTGTTTTAATATTATTCTTAACTTCCATAACCCTTCATATCTTGAACAGTCAATTGTCAGTAATTGAAGAGTCAAGTTGCTGTGCAACAATTAGCATTTGATCGATTTCTTTCGGCACGTGTCTTTTCTTTCTCCCCCCCTAAGAATATATGTAAATATTCAGAGTTAAAATTAGATGAATAGCCTTGAAACTGAGGTTATCTTCAATGCTTTGGCTTATTTTCATTTGCTGTTTTTTCATGGTAACAATAATCAATACCTGATTTTTAATTTGTAAATTAGCACTGCTACTAAACAAGCAGATATTTTGACTAAATATTACAAAGCACTAACTAAATTGCCGAGAGATCATATTCTTCATTTTTATTTCATAATAGTGTGATTTTTCTAAATGTCTCAAGCTCTTTACAAGTCATTTGCATTTTATAGCGTTTTAATTTATTACTTGTAAAAACAGCTCATTGCTTTACCTGATTAATTAATTTTGCTATGAGTAATTAGACTGAAGTTAATATAATTGTTTGACCTATTTGCTTACCAATCATTAATAAACATTGCTAAAAAAACTTAAACGAAGATTTTGTAATTTCCTGTACTGAACTTGGAATCTTAAGTTAATGAAATAGAAAGTTTTTAAAATATAATATTAAATGAATGTTTCAGTTAGATCCATTCGGATGCGGTAAATCCCCTTCAGAATTTAACATTCTCCTTCGTACTCTTTAGACACATTAGATCTGTAGATATGAATATGTATGCACTTAAAAATTATTTATATTTTTTTAATAATTCTTGTTGGTTCTATTATGAAATAGACTCCAATAATCCATTCATATTCACCGCTTTAAATATTCGATAAGGATTAAGGATTATGTAAAGAGTGCAAAAGAAAATCGCTAAATTAAGGTAATATATATATATAGAGAGAGAGAGTGCAGATTCCACCCATTTTGCTGTACCAATCAAGGATATGTCATAATAAATTAAGATACAACTGAAAAGATATTTCAAGAATGTCGACGAATAAATTATGTTTTGTACTTGGCCCATCTATCTGCATCTCTCTGATTTCATCTACTACGCAGTAGCTTCAAGCTATATATCTCGTACAACCATCTCGTTCCTGAGTAAAAAGGTGATTGGTTTCATCTTCTTATAAGGTTTTTTTATCCATCCTCTCCGCATGTCTTCGAGATGTAATTGGAAGCATATATGACGTGTATTCGAGAGGTCCAGGGTTGGAGCTCCGAAAATGGCATTGCACATGTGCTATGTCTCCTGCTTCAAAGCAAACTAATGACTCTACATTCTCTAGCCAGAGCTAAAATTGATTTTGGCATACATAATAAAAATTTAGTGATTCTAATCTATAACTTATTAACTATACAATACAAGGCAACGTTTAAAATTTTTTTCTGAGCATTTATGAATTAGGTATAGGTACAAAATTACTACAATGAGAATTTTTTTTTTTTTTTTTTTTTTTGTAAAATTATTTTGGGCTTCATTCTAGACCCAAATAACAGATTACGTCTGGTTAGGTATAAATACAACTGTATTATTATTATTATTATTATTATTATGATTATTATTATTAGTTTTGAATTACTGAGGAAAAAACATTAGCAAAATCCTTTCCACACAGTCACTTTTCTTTGGGAAACGTCTACCAAACATTTCACATGCATTTTCCTGTTCATACTGCTTAATCTACAACTTCCAATAACATTCAGAGTTTATATTTGTATGTTAATTTTTAGCTAATACATTTGCTGAAATACATCCCATTACTTGAGATAGAACCAGAGAGAACAGGCGAAGAGTAACAGTAACAGGAATACGCCAGCCAGGTACCTTTCTTCCTTTAGAAATTATACGATGAGGAAACATTTGTTGAAGCACACACGTAGATTCTTTAAAAGAGTGTGCTTATGCCCAGTTTTAACTGAAATGTGCAGAAGAGTGCTTCCTGCTTAAATAGCAAAATTCCTACTAAAAAATAACACCAGATTCCGCTAAATAAAGCTTTAGTATTAGAAGAGTATTTGAACTTAGCATTAGAAGTTATTTTGATTAAAATAAATATTATCGTAGCAAGAGATATTTGTTATTTTAATCAGGTTAAAAATTGCTCATTGTTTATAAGTGTAATCTACGTTGAGAATAACCTTTATTGAGTATAAAATTAAAGTGCTTTTCGTATTCAAAAGTCATAGAATACACAATTATACAGTAAATTTCTCTTGATGGAGATTATTTTGAAAACAGGTTAACATGACGAATAATACAGAGTTCATAAATTTCGTAAATTCATGACAAGTGTGCCAGATTTTTGAGATAAGTATCTATTATGTGAATCAAAAGAATATAGCACAAAATTTTAATTAATGTTTAAAATTTATCTTTCAATTAAAGATTATTTATTTTGCCTCTAATATAGTTTTTTAGTGTTTTTTATATAGTCTCGCACTAGCCTTAACCTTCCAGGACGCGCGCGTCGTATTTTTTACGACATCCGTTATTTTACCGTTTTTAGCACGAAAAATGACAGAAATGACTGAATATTGATAATAAATTTGTTAAGAAATAAAATATTAATCTTATTATTGCAAAGTACAAATGATATCACATTCAAATATAAGTAAATTATTAAGTTCTTATGTTAGCGAGATGGAAATGCAATGATGTATTTCATTATAGAACTTTTTAAATTTATTATTT